GTATTCTAGGGAACAAATTCTATTATAATTTTCTTCAATATTAACGGTGTTTAAAAAAATGCAGAAACTTATTGTTCCCGAACCCAAATTAATTTCATTCTTGACAATGCTCCACATTCTACAAGGCTGGCTATTTCTTTCTTCAAAGACTGAAATAATCATTAGTCTCCTCAGATATTAACCCAATATAGAACTTATGGTTCATTACTAAAAGAAATAAGTACTGGAATGAGACAAAATATTAATGAAAAGCAACTCTCTGTGATGCAATAGTAAATGGCCAATGTATGTAACCGCTAATATCTCATGAATTTATTCATACCTAAAATTTAATGTTGGGGAATGTTTGTTTGTATATTAAATCCCGACACAAGTCATTATATTATTATATATTTAAATAGATGTAGTTATTATAGATGTATTTATTATAAGCTGAAGCATACGATATATCACTGATATAAATACATCCAGACAAATCTACCGATATCGTTTGATTAGTAACAATTTTATTGTGAAAATATTAACTTGTATTGTAAAATCTGACACAGTGTACCCAACGGTGATTTTGGTCTTTGCTTTTTCGGCTTTAATTTCATTGAAATTTGATCTTTATAATTCATCACTCATAGCAATTCTTAAAAAAAACAAAAAACATTTACTATCTTGTGTCGCGGACGTAACGCCAATTTTGAAGCTAGTTCTCTGACGACTTTATTGTCCGACGATTTCATGGCCTATTTATCAACAAAATATGAGGACTCTCCTACTCGTGTGCGGATTAACGCTTCAAATTCAACGCATACGTCCATTGTTAGTTAACAAGCAATTTAATGAATTTAAAGAAGCATATTTGAGGAATTACGTTTGGCAGCAAGAGGAATATCCAGTAATGTCAGCTATGAATTAAAAATGTTAAAATCAAGCAATTACGGAAATTTAAATATCTGGGAAATATTTTAACGAAAATATAACACACATATCCGAAGGCATATTGGATAAAGCAGAGTTATTAAAAAAACAGGAAAATTTCAATCGAAACAAAGGTAATTTTGGTCAACGGCTATATAATATCAATCTTCCAATGCTAAACTACGACCAAGAAATGCACGAGGAACTCAATATCAACGTTAATGGATTGGATATTGATATATTATAACATCGCCATATTTGTGATAGATTTGTTCGACGAATGCTTACATTAGAACCGAAAGACCACAGATTTCAAGTTTGTCAGATACTCCTGAAAAACTACTAGGTTAAATATAATTCCTGACAAGCTGATGCATCTTCAGTAAGAGCCGTTATCAAAACGATTATGCATGCAGTGGCCAGATACAACTTCTTCATAAGAGAAAAAGTTCAAAAGGCAGCACACATCGAGCAAAGTAGGTTTTTCTTTTTTGTGATAAGAAAGTCATTTTCCGGGGATTTGCTGGAACTTGGATAAACCATCAACTTTGCCCTGAAACGGGGGATAATCTGAAGCCAGGAGTATTCAGCTAGTAACCAGATACAACAACCACCATACCAGTTTCAAAAACTGTGGATGCCGTTGCAAATTTTGGCTGGACTGTCCTACAACACCAACGGTATAATCCAGATTTGGCACTTTCTGATTTCTGTTTTGTCCGACTCGAGTTGGTCGACATTTTCCAGACAACGACGTCGGCATCACAGCTATGGAAAAGTGGGCCGCCTCCGTTCGTGCTGGTTTTTACGAGAGTGGCATACAGGCTTTTTTTTTTTTGTTCATTGGAGCCGAAGATGCATATAGCCTGTGGGACTGGAAAATCGTGTATTGGCAACTCAAAACTATATTATTGTGCAAATTGTGCACGCTGTATCTGTTGTCGCTATCATGGAAATAAAAAAAGGAGATGATATTTGCGGAGTTTCTCTCGTCTAGCGCTCGTTTGGCCATTATTTTTGATAAAATTGATCTCTCTCTCTCCAATGTGATGTTTCCGATCCCATAACAATAGAATAGAAGAATGATGACGCAGAATAATAGAATATGTCGAATAATAGAATGACTGGCAGAATCGAGGAATAATTCAGTGACGTCTTCGGTTCTTTGATATTCTCAACAGAGGCTGTTGACGCTTATAAACTTAATATAATGGTTTACATTTAATTGAAAATGTTACGGCTTTTATTTTCCTTTTCTAAGGGGATTGTGGGTAAATATTGATGGAGATAAAAGAACAAGAGTGGGCGATTAACAACTTTATTAATATAAAATGTCATTCTTTTTTTTATTTAACGATAGCTTAGTGATCCGTCTTAATTGTAATTTATATAACAAATGTAAGAGAACTTTTTGTGACCTTGTGTCAGACTAAACTTATTTCAGAACTTTATAAGTAGGTAGTTGGCACCTACCATATGGCAGTTATTAATTGTAACTTCAAGCTTCGTTTTGAGGCCTTGTGCAAGACGAAGATCATGTAAGACTTTTACAAGAGCACAGAAAACACCAAAAATATTATAGCGATTAACAAACTTGTCTTTCAGCGTAAATCGCTAGATCTTCATAGATTACTCACGCTTGTAACATTTTACAAGTATGAGCTATCGTAATTATTTGTATGTAATACGCACCCTGATACTTTAGGCTACAAAATTTTAGAAAAAAATAGTTCGTGTATAATACACACTCAGGTATTAGCATTTTTAGCAGCTTAATTGAACCTAAATTTAACATCTTTTCAACATTTTTATCTGCTTCAAATCAACTAGAAATAAGAATTTATATTACTTAATTTTTCAAATACCAAATTTATACAAGTATTTAAAGGAAAAGGCCGAACATGTTCACATAAAAATGAAACATGCTCGAGGAGAAACAAAAATCTGCGGTAGAAAGACACTGTGAATATAACGTTCTTTGTGAACAAGAAGGACCATATAACTCCGTGGACGACGATAATATTAAAGAAGACGAATTTCTCATGACGTCTATCGCTGAAGGAGACAGAAATATGCTTAAAATAGCTGTGTGAATTTTTTGAAAAAAAAAGTGCTGTTTCGACAATGATTTAAACTTTTCATTACACATTAGTCAAATTGGACCAGAGACATAATTTACTTCCAGTCATATCTTCCTGAGTATCGCGACACACATGACTGCAAAAAGTCACTCTTTACAACTTGTGTATAATCCGCATCAATAACTAAAAATGTGTTATACACGAATAATTACAGTATATCATAGGTTAAAGGTACCTAGAATGATATATTGGTTTCATTTTTACGCCCTACCTTTTTATCAGGTGGCTGATTAAGTAAAATTTTTTACTAGCCCCTTAAATAGCTGGTTTCGACAGATCATTAATAAACTGGATTGCCTGACAATTTCGTTTTTTTGTCATTTCGATGTTTATAATTTCCCCACTATTGTTTTTCTTTTTGCTTCTTTACACTCATATTCATCTTGTACAACTCCCTAGAGCCACTCAAGGTAGATTGAAGAACTACTGAAGTAGTTTTATATTTGAGCGGTATTCAAGTACTGTATTAGTTGTATAACATAATCGAAAACCGACTCGACTTGATTGTCGACAATGTGAAAGTTTTTTTTCATACTGATTTAAATTCCAATATTTTCTTTATTTTGATGATTGCTTCTTTATTTTGATGTTTCATGAGTTACTGCATTTATTTTATTAAATCTGTCTTTGGTTCTATATTTACAAATATCGTTTTGTGGTAGCTTTGACCCTTATCAATTATGACCAAGGTATAAAAAAAATAAACGATCAATCAAGAAACCAAAGCTGAAATTTAGAAGGACATGGCAAAAATAAATATAATGTGCACCATGGACATATAATACATAGATGTGCAGGTATTTACAAATTAACCTATAGCTAGGGGGGATTCATACTTTTCGCAATAGTATTTTGTGCGTAAGTGAATATAACATATATATATATATATATATATATATATATATATATATATATATATATATATATATATGTATATATTTAGTTTATGCAAAACTAGGTAATCCGTATGGGTAATCCCAAGGAGGATGATATCCAGAGAGCTCAATGTAAATTCAGAGCAGATATGTTTGAATTTTTCATTTCAACCTTTGGAAGTAAAGTCTGATGATCCAGAGCCCTGTTAAAGGGGTTGTAGTGAAATAACTTATTACATGGAACCTTAATTTGTCTGTTTTTATTTAAAAATATATATATATATATATATATATATATATATATATATAGAGAGAGAGAGAGAGAGAGAGAGAGAGAGCTGTGACACGCGGGTAAGTGGAAAAATCAGGCGTGGCTGACCACATATGGAGAGAAAAGGGAGATCACCGCCTTCCGTGGGATCAGGTTGAGATCATAGACAAAGAACACCATTGGAAAATTCGTAAACGTAAGGAATCAGCACATATGCTACGCCACAAAAATTCCCTGAGCTGACCAAGCATAGAAATGAATACAATATGGGAAGCAGTAATAAGGAGTGCCAGAGAAAAGCAATAATAACAAGAAAAATTGCAATATGAGCTCTGGTAAAAAACATGCAATGATAACATAAAAAATTGCAATATGAGCACTGGTAAAAAAGGTCGCTGAAGACATTAAGTTTATAATACCCAGAAATTCATACACGGACACATGGCATAGTGGATAAAGGCGTTAGTTAGATCCAGTGACAGGACCCAAAGAGTGTGAGTTAAGGCAGTGGAGAACTAGTTAACAGGAGATAACTGATAACTGACATCCATTAAACATGGCACGTGGAACTAGAACAGTCTACCTCAGTGAGCGAAATAAAGTGTTCAGTTCTGAAAAAGGCCGAATCATTGTAATAAATATGGCGACAAGAATGAGAACAATAGTCCGAATATTGTAAATAATATACATAATACCTCATCTCAGAGATATAGGCAAATACTGAATATAACAAATTCAACAGGAAATGGAACTCAACTCACAACCTAGCCCTTATCCATTACAACACCCCATACATATAAGCTTATAGCACTTGATATTCCTAAGCGGTTACCCATCTAGATACTAACCGAGTTCGACGTCGCTTAACTTCGATGATCTTATGGGAACCGTTGTTTCAATATGACATAGCTATATTTTTTTCAGTTAAGGGTTGCTCGTGCAGTATATTATTTAATTTCTAACATGAAAGATAATTAAATAATAGAATTTAGTTTCCACATTGAATTAGTGTTTTTATTTGTCAGTGAACTAGATGTTTCTAATTGATTAAACGTGAGAATTATATTCTGTGCCATAAAAAGGTAAACAAAGGGAATATTTTTGGCAGAATGTGAATGTTTTCATGGTGATTCGCGTAAAATGAACCAAATTCTTGCATTTTTCTCATATTCCAATAAGCAGAAAATTACTGTTTCCAGTCATGAGTCCATTACTACGTCTTTCGAAAGGTGATAATCGAGCGGTTTTACACTATATCGCTAATCTCTTCAAAGAAAATAAAATGGAGATATGAAGGGATTAAATGAGACGAAACAATCTATTAATGGATTAGAGTTGAAAAATTCGAACTTAGGATTTCCGTTTTAAAAAATTTGTTTTAAAAATAAAAACTCTCCCTCGTTCGTTGGGTTGTGTACTGTTTTCTTGTCTTAGTGCTAAAAGATTTCTTGCTAATTTCACATCCTTCACACACATGCACGCATGTGTGTATGTGTGTGTGGACATAGGAATCAACTCAGGCACTAAGCAATCTGCGGTGGATTTCCGTGTCCGTACGTTTTATGTCTAGATACATACTATTTACGATACTGAACATCTGCCTTCATACATATAGCACAATTTTAAACAATATATATATATATATATATATATATTAGGTATGTCGGATTGAATAAATTACACATATTATGTCTGCTAATTTTTAACAAAATCCTTTCATACTCACAAAAAACCTTCCGTGTATTGATGTTAAAGGATGAGAAAAATGTGCTATAGCTGTTTAAATTTTTTTTTATTTTTATTTTCCAAGTACTTTCGATCTTTTTCCAAGATCATCTTCAAGGGTGAAAGTAATACAAAATACAAAACTCTATGTTGTTCATTAATATAAGTATTTATACAAAGTTGTGCGTTGTTATCCATTAACGTAATTTTTTCCTTATGCTTTTCAATGCATATGAAAAAATTATCCATTATATCATTATGTCATATATATATATATATATATATATATATGTGTGTGTGTGTGAGTGCATATATATATGTATATATATATATGTGTGTGTGTATATATATATATATATATGTGTGTGTGTGTGTGTGTGTGTGTGAGTGTATATATATGTATATATATATATGTGTGTGAGTGTATATATATGTATGTGTGTGTGTGAGAGTATATATATATATATATATATATATATATATATATATATATATATATTGGATTGGACACTGAGGTCAACAGTGAGTGCCGATAGTCTTTTTCATGCTTGACTGAAATCTTAAGCTTGCGTTCAAGAATGAAAAGAAACTGTCGTCACTCGATGTTAATCTCAATGTCAACTTTTATATTTGCACAAGCTCTATTCCTAAAATTCAACACTTTTACCATAAATATGTCACACCTTAATACTTTATTTTTATCATTTTATCACACACACACAAATAAATATATATATATATATATATATATATATATATATATATATATATACAGAAATAGAGGAGACACACAAAGAGAAACAGAGAGACAGACAAATATACAGATATCGTGTGTCTGTGTCTGTCTGTGTTCGTACATTTGTTGACGTTGAAACAAAAATGTACAAATTTGTACATTATTTACATTATTCGGACTATTGTTCTCATCTTTGTCGCCATATTTATTAATAAATATGGCGACAAAGATGATGACAATAGTCCGAATAATGTAAATAATGTACATAATACCTCATCTCAGAAATATAGACAGATACAATTTTGTAGTGGATATGTGCATGTTCTAATGTAACACTGCATAAGATAAATAAATATTTACGGCTGTACTTTGTGTATTGAGCACTATTTTTAAATTAATGTTTTGAACGCTATAATCCTACTGTTCGTTCCCCTACACTTTGATATATATATATAATATAATGTTCGTCATGACATCGCTTCACTCCACGATCTTTATTAGAGTGATATTTGATTTTTTTTTTTGGTTCTGTTTTTATGTTCAGTTCATCCCACATTAAATTCTGCCTTGTGCCACATCTGGCCGCATGGGAATGTTAGTGAATATCTTCTCTGTGGGATTTCACTTGTGTTTCATCTTGATTCACTTCTAGCTCACCACTATCACTTGATTACTTACTACACACTGCTGGCAAATCTTGTATGATGTTTCTGTTATAAATATTATCATTCCATTTCCAACCTTTGTTTTCAGTATTCTTATTCTGTAACCTTTTCCTAATTATTATTTGCAAATGCTAATTATCAATAGGATTAACTTGGTTATTAATTATGATTAAATTATTGTCACAAGTACGTAATAATTTAAGGATTTTTCTCTGCTTATTTTTATCTTTTTTTTTTTAAACACACAGACACACACTCACTCACTCTAGTTGAAAACTGGTGCTTTGAGGTGTTGTTTTTATTGTTACACATGGGAATTGGGGTGATAGATCGGATTGATAAGAATGTTCCCTTAAGTTCAATTTGTAATATCAAATCATAATAAACTTTGGACTCTTGGGTGACCATTGTAAATCATTTTTTAACAACTGAGCATTTAATCCAGTGCATGTGACTTTTTTTTCTTTTAAATCATTTCACCTCAAATCAAAGCCACTAAGACGCAAAGGGGTTTTTACTGATAATGAAAAAACATTTGTGAAGAGAAACGACAGTAAAAGACCAAGATTAAAAAAATAAATGATTGATATTGCATTTAAATTTTTCATAGTTTCTTCTTGCACCCATGGAAATCATTTGTGGCTTTTTGTGTCAAATATCAGGGTCTCTTCTGGGAATTATAGACAGCTGTCCGACCCGATGTATACGGGGTCTACAGGGAATTTTTGCCCAAGAATATGTGCTCTGCTCACCCGACATTAAATTCGGACCTGTGTTCTATCTGACCGCGTGTGGTTAGTGATTTTCTTCATTTTGGTGTTCACTGGGATTCACTACTAGTTCACCACTAGCAGTTGATTACTTACCACACACTGCTGGTGAATCGTGTGTGAAGTTTCTGTTATAAATATTATTGTTCCATTTTCAACCTTCATTTTGGTTATTCTTATTCAGTAACCTTTTCCTAGGTTACAACAAATGGATAGACTATGTCAACCTTTTCCTAGGTTACAACAAATGGATAGACTATGTCAACTTTTATCTTATTTCCTTTTGCTATTTTTACAAATTCTACTTAGTCCGTCGATCTACGGCAATGAGTAGACAGCACAGATCGAAACGAGATGATATACTCTTGCTAAGGCTCGAAAAAAATAAAAGTAATTTTGCGACATGTAATGTTTGAAATTAGTGTTACGCAGGGTACATCTGCTAGTATATATCTTTACATATACATATATGTGTATGCATATGTAGAATTATATGTATGCGTTATTGTGTTCGTGCATTTTCTTGCACTAAGTGATACCGGAGTAGAGGCAAATTTCGGTGTCATGATTAGCTGAACGAAAACTAAAAAAAAAAAAGAAAAGAAAGAAAATGGTGTCACACCGAGGGAAGCGTTTTGATAAAGTCGGTGAGAAGAGAAAGCCTTTGCTAAACTTTCTATCTCTTTGACGCCATTTGCAAGAATTCATTAACGAAATGAGATAACACTGGAAAAGCAACCCAGCTGAGTTTTTTCCTATTTTTCATCGTACTCTCTTTCTCTTTCAATCTGTTGTGTTACCCTTGTTGACTTATTGTTTTTTTTTAATAAGCGACGAACGCCATCTCATGTGCAGATCGTCACCTCAATGTCCAACAAAGAAATTGGGTGAAAATAAATAAACAAAATTGATTCTAAAAAAAACTACAAAAATAAGCAAAACTGTTATGAGAGAGACACACATAAAGTTCTAACTTTAATGAGAAAAGTTGTCGGCTTATCTTGCAATCATTGTGCGAAGGTGATTAAAAAAAAGAAGAAGGAAATTAGATGACTCTGTTTTATCAAAGGGAAGAAAGCCACCATTTAAAGCCGTTATATGTTAGCCCATCGATAATTCGATTGTAGTGATTCCCAATCAAGCAACAAACACTTATGGTTCGATATTCACAAAGTTTGACTACACAGAACCTAGAAAAGATGGAGAGAAAACTGGAGGCAACTGAAATGTGCTTCTACAGAAGGATACTGAGAATTCTATGGACGGAATGAGTAAGCATGAAGAAAATGTCAACAAGAAAGAACACATACATTCAGAATCAAAAGTGTTGAAACACTGCCCCTCTCGTACAATCACCGAAGTTAAGCGACGTCAGTACCTAGCTGGGTGACCACTTAGGAATATCAGGTGCTGTAAGCTTGGATGTGCGGGTGGTGTAATAGATGAGGGGAAGGAATTGTTAATCAGAGAGCCGGGTTTCATTTCCAATAAGGGTTGGTATATTCACTTAGGCGCAAATTTATTTGGGAAAGGTATCAACCCACTTCTCCTCCCTCAGCTACGGCTTAATTATTACGACGTCTTATCACTAAATCATTATTATCTAAAACATTCTTACAATCTAAAAATAATTTCTGGCTTTAAATAACATAGAAAGGGTTGATAATCCGTAAAAACGAATCAATCAAATGAGAAGCAGGAAGAGAAATCTGAAGTTCATTGGACACATAATGAGGAAGGATGCTTGGAAAAATTAACACTCACATGGCATATTGAGGGCAAGAAAGATAGGGGAAGGCAGCGAGCCACTTACACGACAATGTGTGAATGGATGGTGGGATTGGGGGCGTGAGAAATGGGAGAAAAACGACTAAAATAGGACGACACGAGATAGGAAGTTGTGGAGAGTCACAGTCACACATGCCCTAAAGAGACCCGGCACATAGAAGATGTCCCGCGAACAACTTACGATACAATCTGACTATCGGTCCACGGTATAAGCT